AGCTAGTATTAAATAAAAAGGAAATCTTTTGAAAAATGCTTATGAAACTTATCTTTATTTAATTATTAGTTTATTATCTTTAAACGAATTTCTTATTAAGAAAGCATTCACAACCTCATCTATCTGTCGTACAATTAACAATTGTTTTGTTAATTAATCAAAACTTTCTTTACTCCTGTACACCAAATAGTTTACTTACGTAATATAGATGACACCATCTATATTACGTCATAATACACATATAGTAAAATTTAATAGAACATAAATGTACATAGCACCAGGTCGTGCTGCAACGAGCAAAATTTCCTCCACGCCATTTTAAATTCAAATGCGATAACGAAATACGAGGCTACAAGCATTATACCTACCTACTTGTCCTATATTGAGAACTCTCACGATTCCTCTATGTACAGCTAGTCAAGTTACTTAATATGTTGGTAAGAAAATAAAGATTGATATGTAGGTATTGTCCAAAGAAACAGCAGGAAAGTAAGTTTGTAGCTTTTTTTAAGAGGGGACAATCATCCAATGACTTGGGACATCCAGGGAGTCTCAGACTCTTGCTAACTAAAAACTACTCCGTTCTTTCTTCTGCTCCAGGCTGGGACCTTTTGGCGCTTGACCTGAAACCCTGGCTGAAGAAAGTTTGCAGCTGAGCCGACAAATGGCAACAAGAGATGTGGCTTGGTTACAAAGAATGCAATTTTGTGTTGTTTCCTAAGTGAGAAAAAGGGAGGCTTCTTCCATAAGGCAAGATGATAATACCTTGCAGACAACTGCCCAACATATGTATGTTAGGTTTTTATAACTGAGCTATTTCGGCTTTAAACTTCACTTTTGTGAGCATGGATTTGTGTATTTTTTTAAACGTTGCCCCACTTTAGGATTTTTCTCCTGTGTCGTGGGTGCTGTTACAAACATACAATTTCACATACATAACACAAGACACCCAGGAACGAACAACAATTTGTGGATAACACAAAGAGTTGTTCCGTGCGGGAATCGAACCCGCGACACGTTGCACGGCAGCCAGTTGCCCAGCCACCGCACCAACCGTGCAGTCAAACATTCAGACATTATTAGTGTAGTTTCAGTATCATCAATATTTATCAGATTCTTCTACGTGGATCGCTACAAGTGTAACAAGAAGTCTGTAACATTACCATCTCTGTCTAAATTAATCTTTATTTTCTTATAAGCATACCAAAAAAATAGCTGACAGTAACAACTTTGAAAAGGACGTAAGTACAATGATCAGCTTCTTGCGAATATGTAGCTTGGAAGAAAATTGGCTCATATTTGAAACGATGTAGTTAGGTTGATACGCGTATTATACAGGCACGACGTACAAGACTTGCGATATAGAGGAAGGTTGATACAAATAAAATTGTATGACAAGGAGTTCAATTATAAAACGGAAAAGGTTCAATATTATATTTGTACAATACCTAAGCGAAGTACTAGTACTAGTACTAGTAGTAGTAGTTTGTCGTGGGATATGAACTCATTAAGTAAGAAAATTTGATTGGTAGGTAAGTAGCACTAATGAGTTGATTTTTAGCTATACTAAGCCGGTGTATTCTTTTTAATTCATTTACATTATTTTTTACAGTAAGAGACTGTTCGTTATGCCTGTATTTATGTAAAATTTATTCTTTACTCTGTTTCCTTTGCTGCCAACTAATAAAATATAACCAAAACAAACGTCAACCAGTCTCAAGCGTATAAATAAGTAATATGAATAAAAAAATGTCAAAATATCTGTGTATAGTGGCGCATAAATTCTCCGCTTACGTTAGCAGAGATGCCTTCGTATCGATAAAATGAATACGAGTGAAAATCGAAATAAATGCATAGTGGAATATGTGAACGTCTTGTGAAGTAGGTACCTAAGCGAAGATGGATACTATCTATTTCATCTCCAGAGAGTACCGTTTGCGGTAACTACTTGCGGATAAAATCCTTTCCTCTTAGTTTTAATGTCTATCGAGATGTTTATTCAGCCTTTTGGTTTGAATATACAATTTTATGCTAAAGTTTCCCGTAGTAGTCTTTGGGGAAAACGAATGTAGATGTGAGGTGTCGATGCAATGTTTATTGGAGACGGGTAGTCACATTTATTAACTTTTTTATGTTTATTATCGCATCTGATCGAATGGTTTGGAGTGTGACAGTCTATTTATGTATTCATGTCATACGTCTTTCTTAGATTGGTCCTTGAGTTGGCTGAATGTTGAAATAAATCGACACGCCCTCTAAAAGAGTCATCTGTGTTAGTCAAAATCAAGGTTCAGCGTCTAAGTATTGACTACTGAGCCGTTTGTCTCACGGAGGAGGTTTGTTTAATAATCGCTACGTTTGCTCATGGCGCGTAGGTAATATAAAACTTTATAATTGTAAATTACTACCTATAATCAACTAGATACTCGGCTTCTATTGGTTACAGTATAATATTTTACAGCTTGCAGCCTTCCCCTTTTTAATTTTTCTTTATTAAATGCGACCAAGTAGTACCGGAGATTGATGTGTTCAGACAAACACACCAATTTTTTTTTATTTATTAGCAATAACACATAATGTGGAATAGTAGACGTTCATGTTTCATATTGTTTTTCTTCGCCGTATGTTTCTTTATAAACTTAGAAAGTACCTACATTTAACTCAGAAAGGTCATATTGGTACTTGCCAAGTTTATTTCCTCTATCCCACCACGGCATTTTATCTTAATCTAACTAGCAAAAAATAATCAAAGTATTGTTTACAAAACAATGAACAACAATGGCGTTAGTGTGAACCCTACAAACAAAGACAATTTCCAACGCTAAACTTAAATGACACATTATTTAAACTGTCTACACTATATTTCTAATCTGATTTCAACTGTGATATCATAGCACTCTATAAAGAACCATAAAAGTGTCACATTTGCTTATCGTTCGTGCGCATCAGTTCCAACGCTTTTATGGATTTGTTCACAAAGCACTTCGTATAATGAAATCAAGCTAACATACTGACTAAATGTATATTCGTTCAAAACTATTTTCTGCTATATTCGTGTTACTGTAGTGGGTAGCAAAAAGGGTTTTAAAGGGTACGAGATATAAATTAATTTTAACTTCTGTTGGTGACAATTTCGTCGTATGAAAGATTTTGTTTTTTTTTATTTCGTTATGGAAATCTTTATATTATATTTTAAGAAAAATGTTGTAATAAATCTTTATCATTAGTTTAGAAGTGCTCACTGCTGAGCAGAGGCTTCTTCTCATAAGGTTTAAGCATTAAAAACCACACTTACTCAATTAAGGCGATTGTATTTCCAGGTATCTTCAATGTTTTCCTTCATTACATGTCAGTGGTAGTAGATAAACTTAAAAAAATACGTATGTCATTTTAACTCAAAAAAAAAAAACACATTGGTATTTGCTTGGTTTTGAACCAAGCCAACCTTGGTTGTGTGTGAGAAGCGGGCGCGCCTTTACCTCCAGGCCACCACGAAATTTTTGTTGTGTGTTACAAAGTTACATAAAAGTTTTATTTATCATCAAATGTCTTTATGAGTAAAATAAATATATATTACTCTTTATTTAATATTCTAAGTATACATTTTTTCTTCCTTTTACTACTTATGACTTATAATTGGAATATTTTATACACTTTATGGTGTCCTTAAGATACCTAGTCTCAATCAATGGCTTCGGAGACGAAGTTTAATAAAAAAATATTTTATTAATGTTTAATTTATATTTTAGACTCAGTGATTTTCTAGGTATTTCTTGTAACTTGTGACTTATGAATTTAATACGTACTATAGAAGCTTGACTTAGAAGTTGCCTATTTCTTAAAAATGATTGAATTTGTATCTTGGTGCCTTACTGACGTATATCAATGTCTCATTAAACCTGTAATTAGATTACTTGATAGACATTAAGTCAGCTATTGTTTTCCACTCGAATTTAATGAAGGAGTATCTTATTCGTGGAAGCTGTGAAACAAGCTTATAGGTTCGAAGAAAATTGCGTAGGAATCGATTTAAATTTTGCTCAAGATTTATAAAATAAGAAATGAAATTGAAATCTAGCAAACTAAGGTTTGTAAAGGGAAAATACTATCTGACCAATTACCTATGTTAGTTTCTAATAGGTAGGTACTTACCTAAGTAAATTTTATTTTCACTCAATTCTTTAATCAATTAAGAACAAATAAAGGAATATTGATGGTTTACGACGCGACACCTACGCACGTGCTTATTCACATCATTCATTAATTGGTTGTAGATCACGCGTGACATCAAATAATACAAAAGTTAGAAGTCTATCGTCTAAGTAGACTGTTATTAAAACAAAAATTGAAATGACACAATAAAACGGTTTCTGGTACATTTTCATCACTTTAATTCATATAAAAGAAAACAACAAACTCTTATGGAATGGTACGGACAAGAGACTTCTCGCCACATACTTTTCCACATATACTCGACACTAATAGGGTTCAATGTGTGTTATTGTTTAACCGCTGTTTCAGCCAGGCTTAGTATTGTTTAACAAATCATAGAATGTCTCCACCCTGGGTGAAACGAAAAGGACCTGTCAGAGTGTCTCTTTCCGCCTTTCTCTCTGATCAACGCCTGCTTCTAGCCGGGCTGCAGTCACTTTAATGCGCTTTGCCCGCAATCCCGAGCAGTGTTTGTACTATACGCTATTTTTATTCGATTGTTCCTACTATCAAAGGGTTCCGACTAAACTTGATCCTTACAAACCTATGATATAACATATGCCTATACATATATCGCCACGCCCGTCTCCCATTGGGCGAAGTAATTTCAACGCCAAATACTTAGAATGATTCTGACAAACGTCTTTTGTTTCTTCTACATTCATAAATAAATACCTCGCGAAAACAAACCTTAAACATTCCACCTAAAAGTAGTATTTTCTGCATCTCAAGATTATTTCTTTTCACAAATATCCGACACTAATAGGGTTCAATATAAGTTGTCTTACCGCTCTGTCAGCCAGGTTTCGTACTCTGCAGTGTAGGTAGGCGGGCTGGCCCACGGCGGCGGTGGCTTCGCGCTTCGTGCTGTTGTCGAAGTAAGGGGTCCCTAGGGGCTCCCAGCCGCCGCCGCCGGCTGTTACACCTGTAATCAACATATTCTTATTATTTTCCTCGCATCGCTAGCATTTGTACATACCCTCTGCAATTTAAAAGTATTTTTGTTCAAAATTTGGACTTTTATACTTCAAAATTGTGTTTGACTGCATGGTTGGCGCAGTGGCTAGGCAACTAGCTTGTGTAAGTGAATTTGTATGTTTGTTAACATACCATACCATGACAAAGGAAAAAATAGTGTCTGATTTTAAAAAAGTATTTAGTTATACCTATAGATATATTAACCTCAATTTTATTAGTTTCAAGTCACATCGGGACTAATTCATGTGCGCATCACGATAGTTTAGAAATAAATTAAAAAACTACACAGAATAATGGATACATTTTTGATACTTGCGTCAGATGGGAAAAATATTTAATATGCAGATTTTAATAACACATTCATATATGCTGCTGGTGTGTTGAGTATTGAAAATCCACATAGCGATGACGTCAGGATTTTATAATACCAGGTCAGGATTTTATAACATTTTCTATCGATCTACTAATAACGACTGTGCTATGTTATACGTCAACCTAATAAAAAAAAAAAAACACATGGACAATGCATGTTTTACTGTATTAGCTATCGTTAGACAAACTTGACATATTGAAAATAATGTCTTACGTTAATTATATGACTGTAGCTCTACCAGTTACAAGTTTCTAGAAAGCAACATCGCGATGCATTCTGCTCCTGAATGAGAGCCCTGTTGTGACTTGAAACTGGTAGGGCTTTTCTCAGTTAATATACAAGAGTAAACCGTTATTTCCAATTAAAATATCTTAATATACAATGAAATAGTCGTAATGACGTGACATAAAATTTATTTTCTTGGCACATTTAAGTGTGGGAGAGCCAAGCTCGGTCGGCTCAACCGGAGTGATACCACGGCTGAAAACTGGTTTTCAGTAATTTGTATAAAAAATCAGTGATTATAGTAGGCAGATATTTTAGAATGTTTATCAAATTTTTCATAATTTTCGTTAGTTGGCCAAAGGTTATGTAAAATTACAAAAATATTAATTGTCAGGCAATAAGCAAACGAAGAATATTGAATATTCAATGCGTAGGTGTCGTAGATGAGGTTCCAAACAAAGCTTGTATTATGTTTATGGTTGTATATCATTTGTTCAAATAAACTATAGGAATAGGTAACCTATTTTCCTGGAAAACACGCAAATAACGTTTTGTCTCGGAGACTACAATTTACGTGTACCTTAGGTATTGAGAAATAAATACAGATTACATTTTAGTGTATTTACAAGTAATTTAAATAAATGTATAAATTACTAAAAATATACTAAAACAAGATAATGACACAGTTTTCTTCTATTTCAGTAGAAAATCACTCGTTTCAAATACAGGAATTATTTTGCGCCCCAGTACGAATTATTCTACGACCACATTTTCATAAGCTAAACGGTATAATTTTATAAATTCAAATAGCATTCAACATTAAATTATGAATCATTTTATAAATTCCGGCTGCTCGCTGGCTTTAAATATGCAATTTCATTTTCAATGAGCGGAAAAATGTTAACAAAAACAAGAAATGTTTAGACTCAATTACGTTTCTTAAGGATTTTTAATTGGTCATTTGATAAATGAAAGCTACTCGACTTGGTAAGCTTTTAATTAGTACAGAAGGTCCTAAACATCTGATAAACTAACTGAAAGTTTGTCGTGAAGTTACTCCGCTTGGGTACATTCGACAGCAAAGTTCAATCCGTGTTCCACTTTTGGTCTTAGCAACACTTCAAGAAGTTTACAAGTTTATAAAATTATTAATAGTTTGTCTTTTCGAGGAAGGAGTTTGAGAGCATGTAAAAATGTATATACGGGTCCAACTTTGGCTTTGGTAAAAGATATTTTCGTAAAAATTCTGGCAAATGTGAGTTTTGATTATACACGAAGTGTACACGCAACACAAATTACGGAAAACATGTTCATTTTTAGGCTTTGGGACACATTTTAATTTTATCAATTTACAATTTCAATTAACTACAGACAATAAAAATAAATGTTATATACTTAGTTGCAAAAACAGTGTTTTTAATATTCATAGATTGTAAAAACGTTAACTGTCTGCCAATTATAATATTATAGACAAGATTACCGAGTTGTAACTCAGTAATAAAGCTGCATGGGTAGACGGGGTGTCATATCAAGAATACCTCACGTCTCGTAGCATCAACCCCCAATCGTTTCAAATCTATCGTGTCATCCATACACAAACAACTTTTTTAGATTACTAGATACTCGTACTTATATGTGGAGGGATTGAGTGAATGATTGAATGAACAAGCTCCCTCGGCAAGCCTGTACGAGGCTGACAGGCCCCTTCACTCACACATAAAAGAGAATAAAGCAAGTCGTACATTTCAACCAGTTGTCAAAGTTTGCCTCATGATTATGAATTTATTGGTTGGTTCTGTTTTGAATTTTCTTTGTATTGAACAAGAGTTTGATAAAAATATTTATGAATATTAATGGGTGGCACTTTATTCAAAATATTATTTTTGTGTTTGTGTAACTTTATAAGTTAACATTCTAATGGTAAAAATTGTGTTGTTTAACCTAACCTTGCAATTCACGAAGGGTTGTCACGTCTTCAACTTGAAGCAGGTGACAGAACATGGGATTTTTACTCAGAAGAGTCAGGTAGAGTAGAGTCTTACACTCATTCTCAACTTGCCTTTGATTGATGTGACAAGTCATTTGATGTTCTTTTTAATTTATTTTATAAAAACTTTACTTAATAAAATGAATAGGCGGGCTAGGTGCATAATAAGGCATTGTTTTTCCCCTCATAAAAATCAAAGTTGCAATACCAATTTTAAAATTTAGTTTTGCCATTATCTATAATTTATCTCAACGTCAGCAATTTAAAAGCTACTAGAATCTTCTACCAACAATCCTGATTAAATATAGAAGCAAAATAAAGATGCATTTTAGGACTATATGTTATTTTAACTCGTGTGTTTGACACAAATGTTGGCGTCCAATATTTACATTTCAAATCAAACAAGTTTGGAGTGTTGGTGCAGAGGCTTTTTGCTTTGAGACGACGAGATAAGATGGTATTGTGAGAACTAAAAATCCAAGTTGAAGTATTTGGAAAATTGGAAAATGTATAGGAGTTCGAATCACCTGGGACGGAATATTTCGTTCCAATGTTCGCTGCATGTATTGGAAATAGGACCAACGAAATATTTGTAACTGTGCGTCATTGTCATTTTCAGTGGGCCGTCCACTTTGATCTCAGGAACCCTATTTCCTAGTTGCTATTGTTACGGGATCTATCTCTTTATCACGGATTGGAGTTTTATCTGATATGAACTTAACGTACAATATCCTAACTAGCGAATTGGTAGTTTTGTCTTTGTGTTACTATGCTCTACAAGTTTGATGTTGTGTTATTATATTGTCATTTTACAATTTCATGTTTTTTTCAGAAGGGAAAATCATCAAATACGTTCTCTCGCCCAGAGTCAGACAGGAGGGAGTGTCAGACTCTTACTGATTAAAAACCCCCGTTCGTTCTGCTCTGGGCCGAGACCGCGGTGCCTCATTAAGCTTGCTCACAACCCGGGCTGAACATCAGCACTATAGGGCCCCGTCTGTTGAGGCGCGCGCGGAACGCTAAACACCGTATAGCTGCCCTTACTCGTGGTCTGCAGACCCGCGCTTACGGTGACCGGAGATCGTCTCTCGAACAATCTCTTGTTAAAGTACGTTTTGGCAATTTAGTATTAGTTTTTTAATGTAATGCGTTGTTCGTGTTCTTCTATGATACTTCAGATAGCACTTAAAACTATTAATTCTAATATTTTACTTGATCCGTCTCCAGTCATGAGAAAAAACAGTATACAATTGTGTACTACAATATGTTTGGTTCAGATTTTTTTAATCTCATTAATTCCTAATACGGAGTCATAGCTGGTATATGGCGAAAGGCTCATCCCCTATTACACGGGCTCCTGAAACAACTCGTGACAAGTGGATTTTCCGTTGTATAACATGTATGTGTCTTTCTGCTTATCCCTTTGAGAAAGCGTGACTTTATTTGTTATATGTATTAAGGAAGATGGCCTCGAGTTTAGGGTGCCCGTTTTTCGTGTATGAGAGTGCGGTGGAAAATCAAGTATTATTTGGTGGAATTTTTTTCAGGGTTATGTATGTATGTGCACCTAGGTACTTATTTTTCACCCTTTTTCTGGATTGTACCTCTGCATCACCCAAAGGTGGTAGAGAATGCTCAGTGCATTGAGTAAACCAGCCTAGTGAAGTTAAAATGTTTTGCGCATGAAGCAAATAAATCGATACTTTCTAAGATTATTGAGACACCATTGACAAATGGCGAAGGCATAGTTAGTAATCGTCAATCCACCTTGAGCAAGCATGGTTATTAATGCTCAAACCTCCTTTCGATAAGAAACCTTTGCTCATAGGCTATAGGCTAACGATGAAGTACTTTTTAACTTTTTTATGTCGACACTACGGACATATACGGAGTGGATAATAAAGGTCACAAGGAAAGCTAGACTTATAATTTCAAATTATCTGTTTTAAATACCACATCCACTTTAAGCATGCATGTTGATTAGATATCCATATACCTTATAAGCCCTTGTACATACAAGTACATATAGGTACTTTCTTACTTGTATTTTCATAAAACCTCCAAAAAGCTATAAACTTAAGTGTTTAACGCGAAACCAGTTACGTGCAGTGGGTTAATGTTCTTTATATAACGTAAGTGAAAACTTTCCACTTCACCAAAGTCAAGGTGAACCTAATAAAATGTAAGTCAGGCATACATTATGTAGGTACAATATTAATTTTATGCGACACTTTACTAAATAAATTATGTTGACGAGGTCTTTTGTGCGTCAACGAACGTTACGCTTTCAATATTTTTTATCAATCTTTACAAATTATTTCGTATATTTCTTTTTTTATAGAATATGAGTGAAATGAAATAT